CCCAAAGTGCTGGGATTACAGGCGTGAGCCACCGCACCCAGCCGAAGTCCAACGATCTTATGAAATACTTTTCATGTTTTTTTCTTAATTTTAGGAGGGTTTTTGAAATATGTTTTTGTTTCGTGGAGGGGACACCCTCTGTGTTTGACTTGCGGGAGCCTCCTCTAACTGCGTGTACTGAAGCTCTCAGCCACAGCGCCCATGGTCAGGTGCAGCGGCTCACTCCATCACCCCAGAGAGCTCCTCCCCTCGCCCCTCCACCCACAGCCACTTGAAACCACTGCCCGGCTCCCCACATGGCAGCACTGCCTCCCCTAATATGTCACATGGTGGGATCCTTCACCTGTGCCCACTGAAACCAGCTCCCTTCCCTGCCCAAGTGTCCTGGGAGAGCTGCTGCATTTGGGGCACATCTTTCCATGTTGGCTGGAGCCCCCTGTGTGGAAGCGTCACATTCGTTCACACCTTCTTCTGCCAATGGACACTTTGTTCTTGTCCAGTTATTGGTAATGAGGAATAGGCCTAAACACTCTTGTGCAGGTTGATGTGCACATGTTCACATTTTCTCTTGGGGGGAATTCTAGGAGTGGGGTTGCTGGATGACGTGGTAAGGATGGGTTAGATTAATAAGAAACTTCCAGACCACTTTCCAGCATGTTGGGGCCCTTACCATTCCCACTGCAGCTTAGGAGGGTCCCAGTTCCTCTGTGTCATCACTAGAGCCTGGGTTGGCCATTGGTTTCTGTTTTTAGACATTCTAATGGATTTGCAGAGGGACTGCTGATCAGCATTTCTCCAACATCTCTGTGATGCTGAGTGTCTGTCCTGGGCAATCTGCCCTCCTGATGACTTCTCTGATGAGGCTTCCATTCAAATATTTGCCCTCTCTTTTATACTGGGGTTTTCGCTTTCTTATGGTTAAGTTTTAACAGTTCTTCATATATTCTGTGTGCCAGTATGTTGTGAAATGTGTGATTCACAAATATTTTTTTCTAGACCATAGTTTGTACTTTCATTCTCTTTAAATTCTTATATTGCTATATAGAGTTACAATTTTAAATTTATAACGAAATTTAATTGGTCAATATTTTCTTTTATGAATCATACTCTTGGTGTCAGGTCTAAGAACTTTTCACCAAAGGTGAGGCTGTGCAAATTTTCCCATTTTTATCTAAAGGTTTTATAGCATCATGTTCTACGTTTAGGCCTGTGACAAACGTCGAGTAGTGTTTTGTATCAGCTGTGGCCGTATCTTCCTTCATATCTGACAATATTGCGGGCATTTCTGCTGCCTGCGCCCTATGCTCGTCCTGTCTTCTTGGTCTGCTCTTCCTGTGAATTTCAGGGGATGTCTCAGAGCTGGCACTGTCCTGGTCCATCAGAGGTCCCATGGGCTTGCCCACGTGGGAAAGTCAGGACTGTGATGCTGACAGGATGCCCTGTGAGTCAGGGAGGTGCTGACGGGGGTTTCCCTGTAGCAGAGAGGTGTTTGGTTTTACAGATGGGAGAGACTTGGGAGGGGATGAACCTGAGAAATGCCACAGATGAGAGGCCCAGGAAGAGCAGGTCTCGGGCATCCAAGTTTTGTGTAAGCACCAAACTTGGATGTGTCAGTGCCACGCCAGGAGGGAACCCTCAACCACAGGCCTCTGGGTGTCCAAGGCCAAGTCTTGTTCAAGAGGTGCATTCAGCTGAGCCAGCCATGGCAGAAATGCATGAGGGTGATCCCATGGTTCCTCTGGTTAAATCTTCTGCTAATCCCACCCTACTCAGAGAGGGAGCCAAGTCCTCACAGCAGCCTGCAAGCCCCGCCTGCCTGCCCCGGTGGCTCATGCCTGTAATCCCAGCCCTTTGGGAGGCTGAGGCAGGCAGGCCACCTGAGGTCAAGAGTTTGAGACCAGCCTGGCCAGCATGGTGAAACCCTGTTTCTAGTAAAAATACAAAAATTAGCTGGACATTGTGGCACATGCCTGTAATTCCAGGTACTTGGAAGGCTGAGGCAGGAGAATCGCTTAAACCCAGAAGGCAGAGGTTGCAGTGAGCTGAGATTGTGCCACTGCACTCCAGCTTGGGGGACAGAGCAAGACTCCATCTCAAAAACATAATAATAGTAATAATAAAAGAAAAAGGCAAAAATTTAAACAAGTAAACAGAAACATGGTGAAAGAGTTGAACCAGCCCTTCACAGAAAGAAAAAAATGTGCAGGAATGGCTGATAAAAATAGGAAGAGGGTCTCAGCCTAACAGGGTGAGATACCAGGTGACACCCACCAGACTGGCAAAAATCCCACAATCAGTGCAAGTGTTGGGGAGAATGGAGAGCTACAGGAATGCTCAGCCACCACTAAAAATGATTGTGAATTATTTTTGCTATGCTTGCTTATGAAAGGGTGTGTGTCGCGCGTTATGAGGAAAATTACATTTCTTACTGGGATGAAATTTTAAAAATTGAAAGCCACTGACCAGAAGAAACTGCACTTGTGTACAAAAGAAATGCCCAAGAACCTTCACAGTAACACAGTCCTAGGGGCCCACCGGGCCAAACACTCATTAGCAGGAAAACGAAGACATTTCCCACAGTCCCATCCACCACGAGAGATCATGCAGCAATGAAAATGAATCGGGTCAGTGTGGACGGGTCTCAGGAAGAGAACGGAGGATGAAAATAGACATGGAGCAAATGCTCAGAGCCAGTGCAGCAGAGAAGCAGCCACACAGGAGACTTCTTCACATCAAAGTTAAAAACTGCAGCCAAGGCAACAGAGCAAGGCACTGTCTCAAAAAGACAAGAGTGTTCAAAAACCACATGCAGTATTGTTTAGGATGCGCACAAATGCAGGGAAAGAAACGCGCTACGAAGAAAAGTACAGGAACGATTAAGACTAAAGTAGAAAGTGACTCCCTCTGAAGGAGAAGGGAAGGGACTGGGATTCGGGAGGGGCCTCCAGGGAGCATCCAAAGTTTGGTTTCTTCAGATTCTATTCCCTAAACTTGGTGGAGGTCCCGTGTGTCAAATGTGTGAACATTCCTTATACCTGACCCATATTATACAAGTGCTTATTTCCTATGCAGTATTGAGAAGACAGGTATAAACAAGATGCATTAAAGAGCAAGATGGCAGATGAGCATCAGGAAGGAACCTCAAGCACATCCGAGACGTTCCACCTGTGGAACCACACCATGGATACCCTTGTACTCACAGGCCTGGCCTCCTCTCAAAACACAGTCAGTTGTCGGAGATCAGAGGCCACACTCATCACAGAAGAGGGGCAGGACCAGCTGCAACGGGGTCCTTCTGTGACGCCCACTGCATCCCCAGCTGTGTGAAGCGACTCAGCTGCCAGGTCTCACAGAAGATCATCGTGCACTGAAACCACGTGGGGAAAATGGTAAGTTCTCCATGTGTCCATCAGCAGCAACTCTCAGATTCACCTCTGTCCTTCACCCCTTCTCCATGAAACAACTTTATAGAGCTTTACTTGGACCTATTTTTCTATTTATTTTTATTTTACTATTGAAAAGACATATATTGTGTGTATGTGTGATTTTGTCTCTATCAGTCAGGATAATCCTGGTTAAATTTCTACTATTATTATTACTGCCAACATCATTTAGTTTTTTTAAGCTTTTCAATTCCTGAGGATATTGATCAGGGTCTTTCTGTCTTGTGAGACAGAAAACAAATCCCAGCTGTGCAGGAGGAAAGAGAAAGCATTGATATCGAGGCCTGAGACATTCCCAGGCTTAGCTTACTTGGTGTACAGCTACATCTACAGTTTCAGGTGCCCTCCTGTGACTCTCTCTCTCTCTCCTTCCCAACTTTGGCTCCATGTTTAGCTTCAAGAACCTCAGACGTAACAGCATCACTGACTCCTCCCAAGGATTCCAGCTAACCTACCCTTACTCTACAGCAGCAGCACTGGATTCTCTGGAATCTCCGACTCTAACTAAAGCAAAAACCGCTCCTACCCCCTCAAACTAAAGTAAGAACCACTCCTGTCCCGGTACTCAACTGCACGGTCCTCTAAAGAAAGAACTGCTCCTGCCCAAGTCTGAGGCTCCGCAGCCCTCAAACTAAAATAAGCACCACTCCTGCCCAGGTCCCCAGCTGTGCAGCCCTAAAACTAAAGAAAGAACCATTGCTGCCCAAGTGCCTAGCTGCCCGGCCCTCAAAATAAAGTAAGAGTCCTCCTGCTCAAGTCCCCAGCTGTGCAGCCCTCAAACTAAAGTAAGAAGTACTCCTGCCCAGGTACCCAGCTGCAGCCATCAAGCTAAGGTAAGAACTGCACCTGCACAGAACCCCATCTGCATGGACTAAACTAAGACCCCTCCTGCCCAGGTCGGCAGCTGTGCAGCCCTAAAACAACACAAAGAACTGTTCCTGCCCAGGTGCACAGCTGTCAGGTCCTCTAAAGTAAGAACTGCTCCTGCCCAGATCCCCAGCTATGTGGCCCTCAAACTAAAAAAAGAACTGCTCCTACCCAGGTCCACAGCTGTGTGGCCACAAAGTAACGCAAGAACTGTTCCTGCCCAGGTCCACAGCTGTGTGGCCCTCAAACTAAAGTAAGAACTCCTCCTGCACAGATTCCCACCTGGGTGGTATTCACAAGGCAAAAAGAACTGCTCCTGCCCAGGCCCAGCGCTGTGCAGCCCTCAAACAAGAAAAACAACTGCTCCGCCCAGGTTCACAGCTGTGTGGCCCTCAAACTAACATAAGAACTGCTCCTGCCCGGATATCAAGCTGCCCGGACCTCAAACAACTAAAAGAACTGCTCCTGCCAAGGTCCACAGCTGTGCGGCCCTCAAATAAAAAAAAAAAAACCTGCTCCTGCCCAGGTCCACAGTGGTGCAGCCCTCAAACAATAAAAAGAACTGCTCCTGCCCAGATTCACTGCTGTCCGGCCCTCAAACAACAAAAAGAACTGCTCTTGCCCAGGTCCACAGCTGTGCAGCTATCAAACAACAAAAAGAACTGCTCCTGCCCAGGTCCACAGATACGCGAACCTCAAACAACAAAAAGAACTGCTCCTGCCCAGGTCCACAGCTGTGTGGTCCTCAAATTAACGTAAGAACTGCTGCTGCCCATACACCAAGCTGCCCTGCCCTCAAACAACAAAAAGTACTGCTCCTGGCAACGTCCACAGCTGTGTGGCCCCAAAGTAAAGTAAGAACTGCTCCTGCCCAGGTACACACCTGTGCGGCCCTCAAACAACAAAAAGAACTGCTCCTGCCTAGGTTCACACATGTGCGGCCCTCAAACAACAAAAAAAAACTGCTCCTGACCAGGTCCACAGCAGTGCGGCCCTCAAACAACAAAAGGAATTGCCCTGCCCAGGTCCACAGCTGTGTGGCCCTCAAACTAACGTAAAAACTGCTCATGGACACATACCAAGCTGTCCAGCCATCAAACAATAAAAAGAACTGCTCCTGGCAAGGTCCCCACCTGTGTGGCCCCAAAGTAAAGTAAGAACTGCTCCTGCCCAGGTACACACCTGTGTGGCCCTCAAACAACAAAAAGAACTGCTCCTGCCAAGGTCCCACAGCTGTGCGGCCCTCAAACAACAAAACTGCTCTTGCCCAGGTCCACAGATGTGCAGCCCTCAAACAACAAAAAGAACTGCTGCTGCCCAGGAACACAGCTGTGCGGCCCTCAAATAAAAAAAAAGAACTGCTCCTGCTGAGGTCCATAGCTATGTGGCCCTCAAACAACAAAAGAACAGCTCCTGCACAAGTCCACAGCTGTGCAGCTCTCAAACAACACGAAGAACAGCTCCTGCCCAGGTCCACAGCTGTGTGGCCCTCAAACTAAGAACTGCTCCTGGCCACATACCAAGCTGCCCGGCCCTCAAACAATAAAAAGAACTGCTCCTGGCAAGGTCCACAGCTGTGTGGCCCCAAAGTAAAGTAAGAACTTCTCCTTCCCAGGTCCACAGCTGTGCAGCCCTCAAACAACAAAAAGAATTGCTCCTGCCCAGGTCCACAGCTCTGTGGCCCTCAAACAACAAAAAGAACTACTCCTATCTAGGTCCACAGCTGTGCGGCCCTCAAGCAACAAAAAGAACTGCTCCTGCCCAGGTCCACAGCTGTGCGGCCCTCAAACAACAATAAAAAACTGCCTCTGCCCAGGTCCACAGCTGTGCAGCCCCAAAGTAAAGTAAGAACTGTTCCCGCCCATATACCAAGCTGCCAGGCCCTCAAACAACAAAAAGAACTGCTCCTGCCAAAATCCACAGCTATGAGGCACTCAAACCACAAAAAGAACTGCTTCTGCCCAGGTCCACAGCTGCACAGCCCTCAAATAAAAAAAAAGAACTGTTCTTGCCCAGGTCCACAGCTGTGCAGTCCTCAAACAACAAAAAGAACTGCTCCTGCCCAGGTTCACTGCTGTTCGGCCCTCAAACAACAAAAAGAACTGTCCCTGCCCAGGTCCACAGCTATGTGGCCCTCAGGGAACAAAAAGAAATTCTCCTGCCAAAGTCCATAGCTGTGTAGTCCCAAAGTAAAGTAAGAACTGCTCCTACCAAACTCCACAGCTCTGCGGCCCTCAAACAACAAAAAGAACTTCTCCTGCCCAGGTCCACAGCTGTGTGGCCCTCAAACAACAAAAAGAAGTGCTCGTGCCATGGTCCACATCTGTGTGGCCCTCAAACTAATGCAAGAACTGCTCCTACCCACATACGAAGCTGCCCGGCCCTCAAACAAGAAAAGGAACTACTCCTGCAGAGGTCCACAGCTGTCTGGCCCCAAAGCAAAGTAAGAGCTTCTCCTGCCCAACTCCACAGCTGCCTGGCCCTCAAACAACAAAAAGAACTGCTCCTGGCAAGGTCCAGAGCTCTGTGTTCCCAAAGTAAAGTAAGAACTGCTCCTGCCCAGGTTCACTACTGTCCAGCCCTCAATCAACAAAAAGAGCTGCTCTTGCCCAGGTCCACAGCTGTGCGGCCCTCAAACAGAAAAAAGAACAGCTCCTGCCCAGGTCCACAGCTGTGTATCCCTCAAATAAACAACAAAAAGAACTGCTCCTGCCCAGGTCCACAGATGTGCGGACCTCAAATGAAAAAAAAGAACTTCTCCTGCCCAGGTCCATAGCTGTGCAGCCCTCAAACAACAAAAAGAACTGCTGCTGTCCAGATCCACAGCTGTGCGGCCCTCAAATAAACAACAAAAAGAACTGCTCCTGCCCAGGTCCACAGATGTGCGGGCCTCAAACAAAAAAAAAGACTTCTCCTGCCCAGGTCCACAGCCGTGCAGCCCTCAAACAACAAAAAGAACTGCTCCTGCCCAGGTTCACTGCTGTCCGGCCCTCAAACAACAAAAAGAACTGCTCCTGCCCAGGTCCACAGCCGTGCAGCCCTCAAACAACAAAAAGAACTGCTCCTGCCCAGGTCCACAGCCGTGCAGCCCTCAAACAACAAAAAGAACTGCTCCTGCCCAGGTCCACAGCCGTGCAGCCCTCAAACAACAAAAAGAATGGCTCCTGCCCACGTCCACAGCTGTGTGGCCCTCAAATGAAATAAAGAACTGCTCCCGCTGAGGTCCATAGCTGTGTGGCCCTCAAACAACAAAAAGAACTGCTCCTGCCCAGGTCCAGAGCTGTGCCGCCCTCAAACAACAAAAAGAAGTGCTCCTGCCCAGGTTGACTACTGTCCGGCCCTCAAACAACAAGAATTGCTCTTGCCCAGGTCCAAGCTGTGCATCCCTCAAACAAGAACTGCTCCTGCCCAGGTCCGCAGCTGCGTGGCCCTCAAACTAATGTACGAACTGCTCCTGGCCACATACCAAACTGCTCGGCCCTCAAACAATAAAAAGAACTGCTCCTGGCAAGGTCCACAGCTGTGCAGCCCCAAAGTAAAGTAAGAACTGCTCCTGTCCAGGTCCACAGCTGTGCGGCCCTCAAACAAAACTGCTCTTGCCCAGGTCCACAGCTATGTGGCCCTCAAACAACAAAAAGAATTGCTCCTGCCCAGGTTCACTGCTGTCTGGCCCTCAAACAACAAAAAGAACTGCTCTTGCCCAGGTCCACAGATGTGCGGCCCTCAAACAACAAAAAGAACTGCTCCTGCCCAGGTCCACCACTGTGTGCCCCTCAAACTAAAGAACTGCTCCTGCCCAGGTCCACAGCTGCGTGGTCCTCAAAATGCAAAAAGAACTGCTCCTGCCCAGGTCCACAGATGTGTCTTTCTCAAACAACAAAAAGAACTGCTCCTGCTCAGGTCCCCAGCAGTCTGGCCCCAAAGTAAAGTAAGAACTGCTCTTGCCCAGGTCCGTAGCTGCATCTCCCTCAAACTACAAAAAGAACTGCTCCTGCCCGGGTCTCCACTTCCATGACCCTCAGGCTTAAACAACAGCCCCACCAGCTCCTCCTGGGTCTCCAGCTTCAGGACCCTCCTGAACAATCCCTTACGGAATTCAGCAGTCAACAAAACCACAGCAAAAGTAAATGAATAAACGTTTTGCTTTCAAATTGATGTGTCTTTTTTTTTTTTTTTTTTTTTTTTTTTTTTTTTTTTTTTTTTTTTTTTTTTTTTTTTTTTTTTTTTGAGATGGAGTTTCGCTCTTGTTACCCAGGCTGGGGTGCAATGGCGCGATCTCGGCTCACCGCAACCTCCGCCTCCTGGGTTCAGGCAATTCTCCTGCCTCAGCCTCCTGAGCAGCTGGGATTACAGGCACGTGCCACCATGCCCAGCTAATTTTTTGTAGTTTTAGTAGAGACGGGGTTTCACCATGTTGACCAGGATGGTCTCGATCTCTTAACCTCGTGATCCACCCGCCTCGGCCTCCCAAAGTGCTGGGATTATAGGCGTGAGCCACCGCGCCTGGCCCTGATGTGTCTTTTATATTCCTGCAAGTCGGTTAACTTTTCTACTTTCCATGAACCTTGCAATCTGCTTCTATCCAATGTCAGATGGAAATACACAATTTGAAATGACATTTAAAAACGTAGTTATATTTTTAATATGATCTTATCACAGCTGTAGAAAGAACCTTCTTTCTCTCTATCTGTGTTAAAGTCTTATGAACATTCAAACTATGAATTTACTGAGGTTCCCAGAGTACACATTAACCCCAAATGTGACTCCCCTCCTTAAAATCTTTCAGCTCATTCCCGTCACCGGAGCACAAATGCCAGCTCCTGTCACAGACCATGTGCCCAGCACAGCCCTGCCCTCTGCCCTGGCCTCGTGGTCTCCCTTGGCTGTTCCTTTTCTGCTGGACTGGCCTCTGTCAGTTCCTCAAACCACACAGGCTCAGGCCTGACTCCGGGCCTCTGCCCCTCTGTGCCTCTGCCTGGGTGCCTTTCCCAGGCTCCCCATCCTCCTCTCGGCCTGCTCCTCTCCAGCCTGCTGGTCGCCCCTCAGGTGGACGAACACATGGTGTCCTCCCACCCCCGGGCCTTTGCACAGGCTGTTCTCTGTGCCGAAAACACTTCCCCCATCACCACCTGGGTTTCCTTTTCTAATCACCATTCATCCTTCGCGTCTCCACTGAAATATCGTTCCCTGCCCACCCTCCTCCTTTGGACTAACCCTGGGTAGGTCGCCAACCCCTAACTCCTGACTCCAGGAATCCAGACGCTATCCCAGCACTCAGAACTTCCCCACTGCCACGTTTTGCAGACCTGTGATTATTCTGTTAGGTTGGTGCAGAAGTCATCGTGGTTTTTCCATTACTTTTAATGAACTGCAGCACCGGCTCCTCCCCGCTTTTTTTTCCCCATTGCTATTAATGGCAAAAACTGCAATGACTGCTACACCAGCCAATAAAATAATTTACATGTATGCATCCATCCTCTGTCTGCCCCTCAGGAAAAGACACTCCTTGAAAGCAGGGAGCAAATCTACTCAAATCACTCCACCTCCCCAGCATGTTGTCGATAATTATTTCCCACCTGACTGACAGAGAAATACCTTCATTTTTGCTGGTAACCCACCCCTTTGAAAGTGAATGTCACAGGCAGTCAGCATTTGCTTTTAACTCCTGCACCTGCAGCTTGGTTGGGCTTAGGCTGATCTAGTCTGGGCTTGGCTCCGGGCTGAGGGTTTGGAACCACGTGTGCTCCACACGCCTCTCCTCCTGCAGCTGGAGATGGTTCTCTGGGGCATGCCCATCCCATGGGAAAAATCAAGAGCATTAGAGGGCAGGCCTGGCAGGGCCCACACAGTTCAGGCTTCTGCTTGTGCCATATCTGTTAAAGTCTCATCAGTGTAAGCAAGTCACCCAGCCACGAGCAACACCTCTGGGATGGATAAGTCCATCCACCCTCCCTCAGACCCTGCTGAGGATGTGGATGTGTCATGCTCTTCCAGGGGCGGGGAGGTGAAATATTGAGGCCCAACATTAAATCACTCACAGCAAGAAATGTCAGCCTCCATGCCCCCAGGCTGGAATCATTCTTCAGCCGCGGGCTCCCCTAAGCTGACTTCCCCTTGCAATGGTGTCTGAAGGTTTAGGCCAGTGCTGTTCCCTGTGGAGGACAGAGGAGCCTCAATTTGCCTCCATCTGTTGGGAAAAACAAGATATTAGGTTGGCACAGAACAACCACAAGCCCCAGGTGGCCCGAGGCCCCTGAGACAGGAGAGGGGCAGAGAAAACAGCCACAGGCCCCAGGTGGCCCATGCCCCACGAGACAGAAGGGGGCAGAGAACTGCGGGAGCTCAAGGAAGCTTGTGTACCAGCTCCCTCCCATCTCTTCTTTTCTTTCTTTTCTCTTTCCTTTTGTTTTTTTCTTTCTCTTTCTTTTCTTTCTTTCCTTTTGAGACAGCATCTGGCTCTGTCACCCAGGCTGGAGCCCAATGGCACGATCTTGGCTTACTGCAACCTTCACCTCCCAGGCTCAAGCAATCCTCCCTCCTCAGCCTCCCCAGTGTCTGGGACCACAGGCACACGCTACCATACCCAGCTAGTATATTTTTTTTATAGAGACAGGATTTTGCCATGTTGCCCAGGCTGGTGTTGAACTCCTGAGCTCAGGTGATCCTCCCAGCTCGGCCTCCTGAAATGCTGGGATTACAGGCGTAAGGCGCCAAGTCCAGCCTACTTTATTTTTCTATACAGTAGCCTCACTCTACTGCCCCAGCTGGAGTGCAGTGGTGGGATCTCGGCTCACTGCAACCTCTAACTCCCAGGCCCAAGTGATTCTCCTGCCTCAGGCTCCCGAGTAGCTGGGATTACAGGCATCTGTCACCATACCCGACTAATTATTATATATAAACATCTATGTACGTATATTATATATATACATATATTTTAGTAGAGACAAGGTTTCACCACATAGGCCAGGCTGGTCTCGAACTCCTGGCCTCATGGTCCACCTGCCTCGGCCTCCCAAAGGGCTGGGATTACAGGCATGAGCCACCACACCCAGCCAGAACCTTGCAATGTACTAACTACATGTGTATTTTCTTTCCTTTTTGTCTTCCCTAGAGTAGGAGCTTAAGGTGGGCAGGCATTTTTGTTGATTTCATTTATCACCCTACCCCCACTGCCTGGAACAGTGTCTGGCATGTGAATGGTATGTTCTAAATAAATATTCTTAAGACATAAATAAATGAAATACCCTACAAGAGAAAGCTGGTATTTGGAACTCACCCATGAACAGAACCTAAAAGCCAAAGACCTTTAGTCTGTCTCTGCCTCTGAACACACCCAACCCCAGAAGAGCCAGCAGAGATAAAACAGGGACAAAGGTGAGGAAGGGAGCAGGTGGTGCCCCCCAACTAAGGACCCCTGAGGCTTAGGCTGAACTCCAGCTGGAGAAGGGACTAACCTAGGAACTGTGTATGACTTTACAGTTTAGATGTGTCTGGCCTGCATTTTGTGACACCTAAACTTGAGTTATTCCACTCTGTTCTTTTTTTTTTTTTTTTTTTTTTGAGATGGAGTCTCACTGTCCCCCAGGCTGGAGTGCAGTGGCACAATCTCAGCCACTGCAAACTCCACCTCCTGGGGTTAAGCGAGTCTCATGCCTCAGCCTCCCAAGTAGCTGAGATTACAGGCTTGCATCACCACACCCGGCTAATTTTGTATTTTTAGTAGAGATGGGGTTTCACCATGTTGGCCATCAGTTGGCTGGTCTCGAACTCCTGACCTCAGGTGATCCACTCATCTCAGCCTCTTAAGGTGGTGGGATTACATGTGTGAGTCACCACGCCCAGCCACTGATGGTTTCTTAAATCAACAATAGGAAATGAATTTTATCAAATCCTGTTTTTAAAACTATCAAGATGATGTAAGCATTTTTGTCGTTTTCCCCATGAATTTCATGACGTACAGGATTGTTTTACTGGACTCTGTCCTTTTCAGACATCATCCATACTGTCTGCAGGCATTTCTTTGTGTCGGTGGAATCTGTGTTCAGGAAGAAGGCTGTCTGATTTTTCTCTCCTGCTATGTTAATGTCAGCTTTTGGTCTCAAGCTCTTGCCAGATTCAGAAAAAGAGTTTAAAATGTTTCCTTTTTCTCAATTTCCTGGAAAAAGTTGTCAGCTTGTGATGTTACTTCCTAAGTATTAAAAAAAATCACTGATAAAATCATTTGGAGTTTGTGAAGAAACTTTTAATTTTTTGTTGTATCTTAATAACATTTCTGTTAATTAACAGATACTACACTACTGAGACTTTCTCATTCTTCTTCTCTCAGTTTGATAAGTCATGTTTGTGTTAGGACTTTGCCCATTTCTTCTAAATTGCTAAGTTTATTGGATTGAATTTATTCACAATACCCTCATTGCATTTTAATATGTGAGAATTTGTCATGCTCCTTGGTTTATTTTGCATATGAATTATATGTTTTTCTCTTCTTCTTCATCAGCCTTGATAGGAGTTTATCAAACATGTGTATGTTTTTGTGTGAAAGAACTCACTTTTGCCGTTAAAGATTTTTCTTTAATACATTTGTTTTCTATTTTACTGGTTCCTGGTTTTATCTTATCACCTGCTTCTGAGGTTGAAGACTGGCAGGGCATGTTTTCTGGCCATGCCCTTGCTGACCAAAACAAGCTGTAGTCCAGAGAGGATGAAGTGAAGGGCCCAGCAGATGGTGAGAGGGGTCACCCGGCTGCTCTCCCTGCTCATGAACACGGGACATGGCCTGCAGCACCATCACAGTTTACAGATGCCATGAAAATGGCCCGGAAGTCAGCTCCCCTTTCCCTCCCAGTGACCTGGAAGTTACCACCTCGTTCCTAGAAAGTTCTAAATAAAACACTCCTTAATGCCACACTGGCTGCCAAATACATGTCACCCTGGATACAGGCAAGCCAGTGTAGGGTGGGACATGTGGCAGTCACAGGTCTTAGCCCTGGTCACATGGACATGGATCCAGTGGTAACTCTCACCTTTGCAGCTGAATCTCTCTTGTGTGTTAATCCACGTATTTGCCAAAAGTATAATGGTTCACTCTCTAGTTTCTGTAACAGCCTCAGATTAGAGCAGTGGGATAATTTCCTACTTTGAATGACTGGTTCTCCATGCCCACCATATGGCTCAGTCCACCAGGACCTCGTCCAGTCCAGAGGAAGCTGATCCCCAATGAAGACAGCAGACAGCCTGCCAGTGTACTCCCCCTCCTCCCCTGGATCTCAGAGACCTCTCTGGACCTCCAAGGGTCCCATCCTGCAACCCTTTCTTCTCCCTCTGCAGAGCAATCTCCATCAGCCCTCCACCTTCAGCGGGAGACCCCCAGACACTGCCTTGCCTCTGAGCAGCCACAGCACCCCTGCCTGTTACTGATTTAATCATTAAATCACGTCCTACCTTAAAAAAACCCTTAGGTCTCAGAGAAGGAGCTCATAGCTTCAGTCAGGGATCCATGAATTCCTCAAATTGGTGTTTTATCAAGAAACATTTTAGTGTGTAGGTGGAATGACTGCATAAACTAATGTTTATGCTTAAATGCTTAAAATACTGCATCGTCTTCTGAAGGGACGGATAAGATCTGGATTCCTGGTAGAAGCCATTCACTCCAGACTTTTACTTTACATGTGGAAGAAAATCACAGGAACCAGTAACATGTGTAGAGTGATTTACTTACAGGTAAACTTAAGAGTTTAACAGGGAACTTTTTCATAACTTACACGTCACTTGATCCTCCAAAGCTTCCAAGTTATGAAAAGGGGAAAGATGATGCTTCTCCATCGCAGACGGAACAGCTCAGGGTGAGAAAGGCCCCGGGACAAGGCTGAGTTGCCCGCGCTGGTCCGCGGAGCCTCCGCACTCAAGACGGCATTAGTCAGCCTCCCTGTCCCGGAAACGGCCTCCACGGGGCAGGAGTGAAAATCAGAGGAGGGTCGAGGACGGAGAAGCTGGGAGGTGTCCCTCCAACCCAGCAACGAAAAGGCCCGCCAAGCCATCAGACCGTAGTTCTTCCGAAGCCGCTGAGGAGCCGAGTCCGGGGCGGCCGAGCAGCCTGGAAGGCGCAGAACGACAGGGGCGCAGGCGGGAGCCCGGGCTTGCGTGGAGCAGGTGCCGAGGAGGAGGTGCCGCGCACCCGGGAGAGCTCAGATCCGGCGTTTGACAAAGGCGGACCCCGCGCTGGGCCGCCCTGAGGCTGCGGAGTCCGGCCAGCCGTGTGCGCCGGAACTGCGTCCCCTGCAGAAGCCGCAGGAGCTCCACTGGCCCTGTGGCCTGGCGGACGGCTCCCAGGACGCTCCCGGGTGCAGGCGCGACGCCCTCGGCTGGAGGAAAGGCGCGGAGCCCACCC